AGAGAGAGAGAGAGAGAGAGAGAGAGAGAGAGAGAGAGAGAGAGAGAGAGATGTGTGTCCTCCTCCAGTTTGGATTGTTAAGCCTTTCAATCAGGAAGCGGGTTTGAGTAACCAAGTGACTAAATGACACAACCAAACTTTCCCCCTCCTCCTTCATCAATATGTAATTAGTATTAATTCTTTGCTTGGCTAAATCTCATTTCACAACCTGCATAGATGAACTTTTTCCATAAATGAACCTTTAAAAGTCTATATTTGAAATATCTTTAAGCCTAAGAGAATAGATTTTAAACAAATTGTACATTATTTCCTCTGACTCTGACATATTTCTTGAGTGATTTTCCTGAAAAATTCTTTGGTTCATTGAACACAAAAAACAAACCAGGTACCTGGTCTGGTAGAGGTTACAGGGATGGGGGTAACATAACATTTGTTCTTAAGGAATTCAAGTCTGTGAGAGGAAATAAGACACCCTGATAAATAGCCATAAGGTAAACTAGAAAACTGTCCAGTACTGTATAATTTTAATGGTGATTACTACATACCTAAACCCTGGTTAAATTACAGTTTTATTGAATGCTAATGAACTCTTACTCCTATTCTGCACAGAATTTTTAAATGCTTTACTTTGTCTGGGTTATAATTATGGTGACCACATTTTCCATACCAAAAATTAAGATACATGGTCTGACAAAGGATTCTTGTGCCACTTGTAGGTGTGAGACCACCCATAGTTACATTTTTTAAAGCAGTCATTTTTAGGCAAGCCCTGTAAAAAAAATAGAGCTTCATTAAATAGGCATGTCTTTAGACGTTTCATTAAACACCTAAAATACAAACAATATTTTATTTTGTATCTGAGTCAACATGTTATATCCTAAAGCACTATTTTACAGCCTAAGGGTATGTGTTAGCCTATTCATAAAAACACACTGCTGCATATAGTCATAATACCCACCATTATCCAGGTGGAATAAAAAGGTCCCAAGTGGTCTACTCCAGGTCTTTAATTTTCCTTTTGAAGATAAAACTCCTTATTTCACTTTCAAGGCTCAAGGTTTTTGAACCTTGCAAATGATTGCCATTGAGGCATGCCAGATGTGAGCAATTGTGAGCAGTTGTTCTTGGAGTGAGGAGGAAGGAGTGACTTTTTCCCTCTATTTTCTCCCCCTACTATCAACCATGGTTTCTACACATGTAATTTTTTAGACCATCAAGGCCATAGTGATAGCTACTGGCCAGGGCAGCCATAATCCAGGCAGGAACTCTTGAACTGAGAAGACCTTCAAGATAAAATAGGCAAGTGCTGATAATTTACTGATGATGAAACCAAGGCCCACTTGACCAGAGACTAAATGACTTACCCAGAGCACTCAGCTTGTCAGTGGAAGAGCTGCTCCTGATCCCCAGCTTTCTGAGTGGCCTAGGTTTTTGTTCCTAGCTGTGATATTTTCTTTTGTTCTGGAGTCATGCTGGTCAATTCTGAACTACTCTGATGTTGGGTACAACTCCTCAATATGATTATATCCTTCTAAATTTATCTAAACTATAACTTTAATTAATAGGCCATCACTGTCATGGAAAATAGATTGAAAAGCTTGGAGAGATGACCCAAACTGCTGAGGACTCCTCAGTGGAGGTTACCTCAAGGCACTAGGGTTTTCCAGGTTCATTCTCAGCTTGTTTGAAGTTCCATTCAAGGGAAATCCTATATACAGTAGTTTCCGCTGTCTTGGGGACCAGTGACCTCTTCCTGATGCAGGAGTCTTTGGGACCAGACTTTTCCCATTAGTGCTTTATTTAAGGTTGAAGTATCACTGTACATAGTTGACCCATTGCTGCCTTTAATAGATGGTTTTATTATGTTGCTTATGGAAATGTACTTTCAGAATGTACCTGTTCCATTAAAAACACCAAAAATGCACCTAAGTGACCTTCAAATTCAACTTCCCATTCATTCATCTCCACTGCAACTTCCCATTCATTCAACCAACATCTACTGTGTGTCTTCTGTATATCAGGTACTTTTCCTGGTGTTGAAGATACCACAGTGAACAGACAAAAGTTCCAGCCCTTTTGTGATATATAGGCCATTGATAGTTTTAATACATATACCAAAAATTAAAAGGTAAAACTCTTAGCTTGTCAAAAATTTAAATTATCATGAAAGCAGAGAGCTAAAAGAAAAGGGAACTCTTATTTATTGGATGCCTGTCACTTCATCCTGTGCTGTGTTGGGTTTATCATATTGAATCATCACAACCCTTTTAAAGATGAATATGATTATCTCTTCTTTTTAAGATGAAGAAACAAGATTTAAGAATGTAATATATCTTGCTCATGGTCATACCAGCAAGAAAATAAGTCTTTTAAAACCTAGGACATCAATCTTTTTAATACCATGCTAAACGGGACTGTAGCATTTTGGAACTATGTATTTGATGTATGGTCCACCATACTATCATGAAAGTAAGTGGAAGAATCATAGCACACATGTGTTTGCCAGAGTTAGTAATATACATGAAGAAATCTCATATCATGGACAGAAAAACAAAGAAAATGTGCTATGTACATACAATGGATATTATTCAACCTTAAAAAGAAGGAAATTCTGCCATGTATAACAAATGGATGAATCTTAAAGATATGCTGAGTTAAATAAGCC